ACAAAAAGACAGTTTGTACAAATACCTCTAGGCTAAATACCTCTCCATGAGGGTTGAAAAAAGTCAAGCACTAGAATGTTCCCCCACCTCTCAAAAGTTCACCTTACAAAAATACATGCTTAAAGAGTTGAAACAAATCAGATGGAAATCTAATGTATCAATAACTGCAAAGAATGGTCGAAAGTATTAGTTAAAAGTTCATAAAAATGTGCAATAAAGTTCAGATTACTTTGAGAATTTTAAACTTAAAGCAATGTTTTACTACAATTCAATGCTGTTCACATTGGTTATGCAACTGTTGAGTATTTAGAAAAAATTTTTTTTTTAATGTAACAGAGCAGGGGAAAATGCATTCTTAGCCAAGCATAAAAAATGAGTTGTACGATATAAACGCTAAATTCTAAAATATTTTAAGGAGAGAATACTGACATCAATCAGTTTGTACACAGTTTATCAGTGTAAGCCTTGATACAAATGCTATAAACTTCACCTTTGTTATATTCATATGCAAACTATATTATACATGCTACATAAATACCATTACTTTAAAAGCACAACAATATCTACGGATACCTATAGCGCTATTCTACAAATAACTTTTGAATAGTTGAACTACAGCCTCTTGTGTTTGATAGTGCAGAGGTCAGGTTATTGGAAGCTTGCTATGAACAAAGCTTTGATAAAATTTCAAGGGATTTTGACTCTTCTGTTTTTACCAGCTTTACAAAGAGAATAAGACTGCAGGCGAGACGATATCAATCACCTCCAAAGGGAATGATCAGTATTTCAACAGCTACAATGTAAAACTGTCATATTACATTTAGTTATTTTACAAATATAATATTACAATACCTAGGCTTCTAGAAAAAGGTCAAATACATTTCATCAATTGATACAAACGGCAAGAGAAGATATCCCAACATGTCTTGAATATTCTTTTTTTTTTTAAAGAATTTGGCCAACAAGTCCAATATTTTGGAATACTGCTACTGAACTATACTGACAAAGAGTAGTCATCCACACTTGGCAAGAGCTTAACTCCATTTGAGAATAGTCTCTCAACTCTCGTCACCAGAATTTCATTGAAAGTATGGCAAGATATTTTGTAACTATTTTGTCTCTGGAAATTGCTAACTTTATAACCATTTTTTTCATTTCAAGGAATAGATATAAAACGTGGTATAGTATCCTATAGAAAATAGTATTGCATTGTCATATTCACTTGGTGTCCATGGCATAAGTTCATTGATGAAAATTGAAGTGGGATTTTTATTGATTTTGTTTCAAATTACTGACACATCGATATGTCAATGTTGACCTACATCAAATACAACGTTGTGTCAATGTCAAGTGTATTAATAGAGTATTGATTTAGTAACAATGAAAATTCCTCAACTTTTTCTGACGAAAATGACATCAGCGTCATAATTATTGAAAAACTATTAGTTATAGTTTGCCAACCCTCACTCATACAATGCCAATATTGATTTATCAGTAAAGTTGACTTAGTCCCCTACAAATAGGCATTCTACATTAATACAACGCTCAATGTCCATTTTTGACGGATGCCCAGGTAGAGCGTAGAATCAAACCAGGAACACAGACTCAAACACAAGTCTGGAATAGTTCTTAAGCAGTTAGAAAAAATGAGAAGAATGCATGCAAAGCACAGAAACAAAGTGCAAGAGCATTTGGCACGGTGTACCCTAGATGTCGAGTAGCATATTTTCACGTGTTATTACATCGTGGACAAACTGATTCAGTCATTTTGGGTATTGCTTGTTTGGTCGTTTCAAAAAGTATGCCAGAGAGGTTTCTGACATTAGTTTAAAAAAATGTGAAAAGGTTTAATGGCAGAAATGAGGTAAAAAAAATCCAAACAATGTGATATGTTAGACCGATATTAAATGTAAATAAATGACGTCTTGTGATATAAAATGGCAAATTTGGCACTGCATACAAGAAAATATTGAAGTGCATTTAGAATGTTCAAGTCTCACAACTGGGGATCAACTGAGAACTTGGTGACTTCCATGTGTGACTAGCACATGTAGTATTTTAACTACTGTGGTAGTATTACATTACTACTACGGTTGAGGACATCTGTAATGAATTCTGTGGTTTTCATTTCTGACTGACCCTTTTTTTTCGCTCCAGCCAAGGAAAAATACTTTTCTTGCTGCTGATCCTGTCTGGAATTTCATACCGAAGAAAAGATGAGAAAAGATTCTGGTAAAGAGTTACAAAGTTCGGGTGCTGCAACCTAAAAGCTTCTCGCCCCCAAAGATAATGAGCCATAGTTTCCTTGAGTGCTACTTGTAGTAGTGCTGCTAGCAGTAGTGCTACTAGTACTAGTGCTACTAGTAGTAGTGCTACTAGTAGTAGTGCTGCTAATAGTAGTGCTGCTAGCAGTAGCGCTACTAGTGCT